TCAAAAGTGACATTTAGATTTCACATATTAAACAGCTATCATATAGCTTACAATGGTACAAAGACACCTAATACAAGTACTACTACATCATTTAGAGTCCAAAGTCAGAAGGCACTGTGTGGTTAGCAAAATAACTTTTGTGTGGTCATTGATACCCAATAAGTAATTCAAGTATAGTAATATCAAAGCAGGCAATTAAAATCTCAACTATCACTCTACAATTGAAGACATGAAAATTTTGTTCTCCATCTTTCAATTACATGGACTTTATTGTAGAAAATATTCAGTTGTTATAGATGGCTGCCCCACAAGATAATGAAGCTTAAGAAATTACAAAAAGTGTCAAGATCCATAGTAGGCTTCATCAAATTCTTTTCCAGACTGTTTCAATTCTTCATTCAGAGTTATCACAAGTAACCTTCACAAAATTCCCTGAGTCCTTTCAAATTGAGAAGATGAAACTTCAACTTGTACTTGGCCTTGTCTTTCAATTTTCATTGCTTTGTGCATTTTTTCAGTGATGAACTCTATGACAAGGTCTTCAAGAATTCCACTGGCTCTGTGTAAGTATTCTGATCATCCCCCAAACAAATACATTATATATATATATATATATATATATATATATATATATATATATATATATTGCAATGGTCTAGAAAAAGTCTTTTCTGTACCTCATTCATTTTCTTCATCAAACATGAGGTTTTCTTCCTTAACTTCTCAAGGTCATTTTTATTCTTCAAATCCATTCTTGCTGTTCTGCCAAGGCTATTCAGTTCTGGGCTTAGTTGGATGGCTATGGTGCCAGGTTTGGAACAGAGCTGAATGCAGTGCCAAAGTCTCTCCAAGTCAGAGACTGGAGGTGGTGTCATGACAGGAGTAGGAGAAGCCCACCCTAGAAGGATATCTGTGTCATTGCCTCCTTGGTTAGATTTGGAATGGGTGGTGGGGGCAACATGATTGCTCATGGCATCCTCTGAGGATGGGGGAGAGGATAGGGGCTTTTCCTCCAAATGGGGCTGGGAGTAAACTTGGGCCCGCAGTCTCCTGCAGTCCTGGGCTTAGAAAACCATCATCTCTTGGTTGCAATGTTCCTATTACTCAATATGATGATCTGACTTCCTTGAAGCCCAGATCCAACTTGGGATGAGTGTCCAGTTGTTGAGATTCATTGGACATCTTAGATACTTGCTTTACTCACTTGAAGTGGTTTTGTAGAAGGATATTAAAGTCAAAGGCATCACCTACTCTATGAAGTAAATGCCAATGAAAGCATTATGTCCAGTGTCATTCTGGAACCAGATTACACAGTAGAAGCTGGAATCTGTCACTATCTCCTCAGCAATTATAGGATATTGTTTCTACTGGTGCCCAAAGAGCTCCTGTGATGTTTTATACTCAAGTTGATAGACAACCTTCCCTTTCAAAATGATTGGAGGTGACCAGTATAAGTAGGCTGGCCTGAATTCCAGCCTGTAGCTGCTATTGGAGGTACTGGGCAGAATCTGGTAGATGCTGACATCCAGCTTCATACAGAGGTCAAAGCTTGTATTTTGACTGTGCTGCTTTCTTGGCCCTGCTCTCCATGCCTACTAAGTATCTTTTAATCTCTAGGTTCTTTCTTACTTTCTTTTTCCTTATAATTTATTTGTTTAAGGAAGTATTTCTCAGAGCCTGGATTTAAAATATATCCTCATGGTGTTAATAGATTCCTCTGCCTTCCACATTTTCCATAAATTTTTAGATTTACAGCTATGATTCTCAAACTGTAGTTCCCTAATCCCCAGCATCAGAACCACCTGGAACCTTGTAAGATGTGTTAATTCCTACCCCACCAGAGGACCTGAACATCCAGGTCACCATCTTGGTGAGGCTTAGCATCCCATTTTTGAAGTCATCCATTGAAGAATAAAGGTCAAAAAAACTGGGGTAGGGAGGGGTAAAATACTGGGTGAGGTAGCGGTTGTCTCTTATTGGGATGGCATGCAAGTACTTCTAGGTTTTATTCAATAAAAAATTAAAAATTTTTTGCATTATGTTGGAACAAATGTAATGGTGGACTTATGGTTAAATAGTTAACTTAGCTGATTTCATGTACTTTGAAAACTATATGACTACTAAGGGTCCAAGTTTCCCTGCCTTTCTTGGAGAAGGATAGGGATAAGTGTTCACTCTCCCTCAATGCTTAGGCTATCAAATATTGACACTTTCGAGGCAACGAAGTAGCTCAGAAATGGCAGACCCTCTCCTGGAGTTTTAGGTTGCTTATGTACTTGGCATAGAAAATCCTTAGTTGGGCCCTTCACCTGCAGCAATAGCTTGCCAAATTTCCATAAAGAGTTGAAATCCAAGCCTGTTTTCCCTTCTGATCTTAGTGGAAGGGGTCAGCTCATGACTGGCTATTCTAGAAGATAATCAGAACCTATGCAAACAATTGAGCAAGGACCAACAGGTGAACCTGAACTTTTGTGAACTCGTGGAGTAACCACAACTTGCCTACCAAATTGTGAAATCAAACTTTGTTTTCCCAAGTCTCAGGTGTCAGTGGACAAAATCTAAGATAAATTACGTGAGACCTATGTTGATACTCCTTTGTTAAAAAAAAAGAAAGGAAAGGATAAGCTGTATGCATTTTTTAACACTCATAGAATTGAATGCCAAGAAAGAATGGATTTTGCTGTATGTAAACTTTTAAAAGTGGATTGAAAAAGAAAAAGAGCACTTAGATGAACACAACGATAAAACAAGTAGTTGACCACAACTTGTTAGAGTTTTCCTACATATTTGCAATGATATAGGAAATTCATTTTTCAGTAGAAAAAAAATCTATTTTGTAAAGTAGGTAGTTGGACTCCTGTTTTAAATGAAGATATGTTGTCTGAAAAAGAAATATCCCCACTGATGCTAGGTCAGTGGGGGTCAGAGTGAGGAAGGGTACGGAGACTGTAACTTACTTATCCATTATGCTTTTGATGGACATTTGGGTTGCTTCCAAGTTTGAGCACCTACAAACCATTCTATATAAATATGCTTGTTTACATGCCCTGGCCTGGTACACATGTACATGTTGATTTTCTTGGTCATTTGGTGTGTGTATTTTCATCCTTATTTGATATTGCTACATTGTTTAGCAGAATGGTTGTACTGGTTTACACCCCCAGCATAAGGATGGGTCCCCTTGCCTGGATTCAAGTGCCTTCCCACAGAGAGTGGGGGGGGGGGATTAAGTCTTGGAAAGAATGAGGAAGTGGGGCAGAGGAAGACCTTGGGTGTGAGTCCAAGGAGATCAGACTTTATTTGACTGCCCTGGAAAGCTTCTAGTGATTTTGGGACAGAGGACAAAATGCAAGAACGAGGTTTTATTGAGCCTTTAAAGCTCTCAATCGGTTTGTGTTGTGGGGAGAGTGGGGATGGTCATAGGGTTGGTTTAGGCTGGCAGCAGGATTCAAGTTCACAAGAGAGAGATTTGTGGGGAGAATGTGCAAAGGAGAAGCTGAGCAAATGCTGTGTGGCAGAGATCCAGAGCATCCCAGCTCTGCCCATTCTTGTCCTTAAATAATCCTGTTAGACTATGGCACACTACTTGTAGCGGGTGTGAAGTACTGTGGTCTGCCTGGAGAACACTGTAGCAGGCAGTATCCAGCAATGATGAAGACGCATATACCTAAAGATCCAAAAGTCTCCCAATATACCAAAACAAAACAAACAAGCAAGCAAAATCACCCCAAAAGAAGGGATTTCAAGAAGGAAATATTGTCAACCATGTCAAATATAACAAAGAGGTCCATCAAGAAAAGCCTGAAAAGCATTCACAGGCTTTGGCTATTCAGAGTCTGATGATGAGCTTTGCCGAAAAAATGTTTGGAACACAGTGGGAGCAAAAATCAGAACACAGGGATTTGAGGGGAGAGCGAGTAGTAGCAAAAGGTAACGGAGTGTGTAACATGCCGTCAACATGGTTGAGTGAGCACAGACCCAGCACATGGAAACATTTAGGATATGATAAAAGCACATTCTAAATATGCTAAATTAAAATACCATTTGAAACGATTGGATAGAAGATACCTAATTTGACAAATGATGATGTAACATGGGAGAAAAATAATAAAGTTAAATCCTTATATCATATGCTAAATTCAAGTCAGATGATTTTTAGAACTAGATGAAAATATAGGTGTACATAAACTTGGGGATGATTAAAGTGTTTCTGAGATTGGCAACAAAGCTAGAAGCCTTAACAGAAAAATATGGATAAACTGGACTTCATTAAAACTGACACACATGTACTAAGCTTTTTAGTAAGGAAAATAAAAGGCCATTAAAACTGAATAACAAATGACAAACATAGAAAAATAATTATGATATATGATAAATAATTCTTATAAATAAGAGAAACCAGTATCAACATAAATGTGAATAGCAATTCACAAATAATCCAACTGTTCAATACCAGCTGAAAAAATTCAATTTTTAAAAAAGATTTTATTTATTTATTCATGAGAGACACACACACACAGAGAGAGGCAGAGACATAGGCAGAGGGAGAAGCAGGCTCCATGCAGGGAGCCTGACATGGGACTCAATCCCAAGACTCCAGGATCACGCCCTGGGCTGAAGGCGGTGCTAAACCATTGAGCCACCCAGGGATCCCCAAAATTCAATCTTAATAGGAATCAAAAACTCTAGTTCAAGATGAAATGAACTCTTACATTTACTTCTCTTTCCTCCCTAAGTTCAACTGAAACTACATTTTTTTTTTAAATGAAAGGAAAGGTAAGAAAAGGATAAAATTCCAAAGCAGTACTGGAAAACAAGTATGATAGTTCTCCCTTGCCTATAGGAGATATGTTCCTAGACCCCCAGGGGAGGCCTGACATATACTGTTTTTTCTTATACACACATACCTATGATAAAGTTTAATTTATGAATGAGGCACAGTAGGACATTAACAGCAATGGTAATAAAATGGAACAATTATAACAATATACTGTAATAAAAGTTATGTGAATGTGCTTTCTCTCTCCAAATTAGCTTATTGTACAGTACTCACCCTTCTTCTTGTGATGCTGTGAGATCATAAAACGTCCACATGATGGGATGAAGTGAGGAGAATGACGGAGGCCTGGACATAGCCTTAGGCTCCTGCTGATAGAGGAGCACCTGCTTCTGGACCATAGTGGGCCGCAGGTAACTGAAACCACAGACTGAAACTACAGGTACTTTCCTTTGGCCGGAAAATTCCCCAGCCTCACTCCACTCACATGGTTCATATAGGACTGCCATGTTCCTGCAGAGCCGGTTTCCTAGCCACGGCTGATGGTTCAAACTTGGGCACAGTTAGCTGAAGGGATGCCTCTCACCACCACCCCTGCCCCCCACCAATCCTCACTTTGGGTTCTATCTTATGGAACAGATATATGATGGTCGATCAGAAAGCCAAATATAGGGGATCCCTGGGTGGCGCAGCGGTTTGGCACCTGCCTTTGGCCCAGAGCGTGATCCTGGAGACCTGGGATCGAATCCCACGTCGGGCTCCCGGTGCATGGAGCCTGCTTCTCCCTCTGCCTGTGTCTCTGCCTCTCTCTCTCTCTCTGTGTGTGACTATCATAAAAAAAAAAAGAAAAGAAAAGAAAGCCAAATATAGCTTTATCATTGGTCAAGACTTAGAAACCTTGTAGGTCATTCTTGGATAGGCTCTCTTAAGGTCCTTTTCACCCTCCAAATTGGAGAGATTGGAAACCCCAAAACTTTATTTCTCAGTGTCCCTTGCTGCTAGAGTTCTGGATGTAAACTGACCTTGCATCTCATTTGCTGAGGAAACCTGCCTCCTAAACACAGAGAAAAGAAGGATCACCTGAAAGTTAGGTACAGTGGGAAAGCCCTGTGGTCCTGAGATACCAGGCATGGTGGCGTCAGTGGCAGTGGAGGTTCTTCAGGACGTGTGACCCAGCCTCTGCCCCGCCCATCCCTTCACTCACACGCAGCAAATGAATGGTTGTTCTTCTACAGCAAGGCGGAAAGGCTCTCTAAGAATTCTTGGAATTATGTTTTTGTTTTAAGCCACACACATACACACACACATGCAAGTAGATAAGAATGTGCATTGGTTGACAGCAAAGGCATCATTAGAGCTGGACAGAGAAGTAGGTGAGCGCTCCAGTGAATCCTCAGTGGACACTGGACACAAGCAGGAAAGCACTTTGCTGCCAGGGCAGTCCCCCTCCCTATTTCCTGTATCAGGAAGGATCCTCAGGCTGCAGACCTGTTCCCTTTGTGCATCCGGGAGGGAAAACCTTCTGTCCCCTCACTAACCCACGGTGAACCTCACCCTCTAATTCCTGCATGAAGTGAAAAAAACAAAAATCAAAAACTAAAATATCTGAACCAAATAGCCACATGATTTAAACAGATCCTGGGTGGGTATAAACCAAAGGGTGGACTACTTGGCAGTAATGGCCCAACAAGTCTTAACCACCTGTGCTACGATCCACTCTGAAGCCAATTATTCCATTCTTGTACAAAGTTCCATTCCACATTCATTTGAGCTCAGACACATTTGCTGAGATTTGTCTCTCTCCCTAAAATGGCCCCATCCTTTTCCTCCCCAAGCTTGCCCTGTACCAGGGAAACTGCCTGCCCTGTTCCTGGGGTACACTGCATTCTTTGACCACTTAGGTCTTTGTTTTTATGGCTGCTTCCCTTTGCCTCAAATGCACCCTTGTTAGTTTTGCTATTCTGAATCCCACCCCATATCCTTTCTCTTCATGTCTTACTGAAGGCCATTTTCTCCATGAAGTCTTTCTTTCTTTTTCTTCTTTCTTTCTTTCTTTCTTTCTTTCTTTCTTTCTTTCTTTCTTTCTTTCTTTCTTTCTTTCTTCTTTCTGTAGAGAGTGCATGCATGCCTGTGAATGTGCATGCAAGGGCAGGGGCAGAGGGAGAGGGAAAGGGAGAGAGAATCTTAAGCAGGCTCCATACCCAGCACAGAGCCTGACATGGAATTCCATGCCAGGCCCCATGTGGGGACCTCTGCAGGCTGGGACTCATGCCCCTGAGATCATGACTGGAGCAGAAATCAAGAGGTGCATACTCAACTATGCCACCCAGGCCCTCCATGAATTGTTTCTTTAACACATAGGGTCTAAACTACAGCCTGGGACTTTAAAGGTAAGCAATGACTATTTGTGAATTGAATCAGTCCTCCCAACACATATGGTTTTTCTTTTACTGTGCCTCTCCCTCCCTTTGTGCTTTTCTATGGGGCTTTGCACTCTTCTGCTAATGTATTTGTCGAATCCTCAACTGGCTGGAAATTCCCTGAGGCTGGAGACTATGTCTTCTGGGTCCAGGCTATCCTGATCTGTTCCAGACTGAGGCATTTCCTAGGTTGCAGTTCTTTCAGAGCTTAAACCAGGAAAGTGTCAGGCAGACCAAAGTGAGTCAGTCATCTTAGCCTTGCTAGTCTTTGATTCCATGGATTGTGGGAAGAAAATAGGATGTAAGGTTAAAGTTATGGCTCAGCCATGGCCTCCAAAACACACCTTCCCATATGTCTGCTGCATGCATGGGTTTTCCACTGGGGAAACCCAGTGAGCTAGGAATAGTGAGGACTTATTTTTTTTAATATATTTTATTTATTTATTTATTCATGAGAGAGAAAGAGAGAGAGAGAGAGAGAGGCAGAGACCTAGGCAAAGGGAGAAGCAGGGTCCATGCAGGGAGCCCAATGTGGGACTTGATCCTGGGACACTAGGATCATGCCCTGAGCTGAAGGCAGACACTAAACCCCTGAGCCACCTAGGCGTCCCTAGAGTGAAGACTTTATACCAGAAGATAAATTTCCTATCTGAGAGAGAAGGTAAATCCTGAAATATGGGTCTAAAAACACTCAACAGATCTATAATAGGGCCTGTGTAAGCAAAGGGCTGGAGTTCATTTTTCTCTATTTTCTCTTATTTAAATTCAATTTGCCAACATACAGTATAACACGCAGTGCTCATCTCATCATGTGTCCTCATTAGTCCCCGTCACCCAGTTACCCCACCTCTCCCACCTCCCTTTCTGCAAACCTTTGTTTCTCAGAGATGGGAGTCTCTCATGGTTTGTCTTCCTCTCTAATTGGAGTTCATTTTTTGATGGAGCTTCCAACCCCTGCTCTTCCTTCTACCTCTATGAGTCCACGGTATGTATTACTCTCTGAGCCTCAATTTCCATATCTGCAAGGTTTCATCTGGGGATGAAAATCCTCTCCTGCCAGTTCTGTTGAGAGTTAAATCAGAGAAGGTGTGTGTGTCACTGAGCCCAATACTTGGTGTCCAGAGATGCCTAGGTTATCAGAGATTTCAGCATGCTCTTCTTCCTTGTCCCTCCTACTCTGTGTGCCCACAACCAAACACTGTGTGCCCACCCCCAACACTATGCTCACAGACCAACCCTGTGTGTCCATATCCCCAGCCCTGTGTGCCCACATCCCCAACACTCTGTGCTTGCCCCCCAAGACTGTATGCCTTACCCTCCACACTCTGTGCCCACACATCCAAGACTATGTGCCCACATCCTCCACACTCTGAGCCCACACCCTCACACTGTGAGTCCACACCCCCCACACTGTGTCCCTCCCTCACTAGCACTTCTTTTCGCCTCATTTCCTATCCACTGTCTGCCTTCTCCCTGCCCTCTTCTCACTGATCACTCTTTATATCTTTCCTACTTACAAAGCAGTTAAAACGAGGACAAAAATCAGCACAAAACTTAGAAAAATCACAAAGTATGCAACATTTTGCTTGTAGGGTTTGATTTGTTCAAACACCTTCATTTCTCTTGTCCATATCCTTCTCTGAAGAGTTAGGAGCTGAGGTTTGCTGAGCTAGAGGGGCTGTGAGATATGGAATGTGCTCCTTAATCTCAGGCCTCTGAAGAGAAGAGGCAAAAGGCCTGACATCTTTCCTGAGGATTGTGTCTTAAAGGAGTTAATTCTCTTTGGGGAATGCCTCTGCTGGCTCCATTGTGCTTGGACGAGCTAAAGCTGCAAGTAATAAACCTCCCTAGGACATACTGATTAGATAAACCAATAGGAATTGTGGAAGACACAGACATTAGATTAAAAAAAATTTTAAATGAATGTTACTTTTACAGTGTCTGTGAATAGACAAAGACTTTTTGGTTCTGAAATAGTTCGTAGGTGAGGTAACAGAGGAGGGGCTATGTTAATAGCAGAGGTAGGAAAAAAGGAGAGGTGGGTGGATTCCAACTTCAGGGCCCACCTTAAAGGATTAGATTCAAGGGCCTGGAGCAACCAGCCACTGTGCAGGGTGAGTAGAGTGGATTTTAAATATACAGAGTTGGGATCCCTCAACTGCGCCAGAGTTGGGTGGCGCAGCGGTTTGGCGCCTGCTTTTGGCCCAGGGCGCGATCCTGGAGATCCGGGATCGAATCCCACGTCGGGCTCCCGGTGCATGGAGCCTGCTTCTCCCTCTGCCTGTGTCTCTGCCTCTCTCTCTCTCTCTCTCTCTCTCTCTCTCTCTCTGTGACTATCATAAATAAAAAATAAAATAAAAGACCCTTTAATAAAAAAAATATACAGAGTTAATAGCTTGGTTGTGGGTTCTGGTTTGGGGATGTAAAAGAATGAACCCAATAGGTAGGAACCTTCAGCCCACAGAGGCTCAGGTGAGAATTTTGTTGCTTTTTACTAAAGTTCGGTGCAAGATTTAGAGAGCAAAGATAAAGGACAGTCTGTTGTTTAAATTAATTTTTAACTATTTCAACATAGTGAAGGACAAGTAAGATTGACTGGGTTGTCCTGTTGCTATTTGGTGTTCCCCTACTTGCACTCTATGAGCATGTGCCTCTGTGCAATGTCTGCTGTGCACCGAGGGGCTGAGATTTAGATCTAGTTATATTCTCTGCACAGAGTTCTAACTAACTGCCTTTCTTAAATCCATGTTCTTCAGCCATGAAAGTCATGGTGGTTGGTTCTTTGCTTACTTTGAGCTTCTTCCAATATAGTAAGGGTTATTTCCAGCATCTTCTTGGAGGCTTCTAAGAGTCCAGGAAACATGAGACTTATATAAAAATCCTCACTTCAATTAAGCTTTCCCACAGGAAGGAGGTGGCCTTTCCCACTTACTTCTTGGGCTCTAGGGAATGGGAGGGAGGTGATACCTGAGAAGCCAGGGAGCTAGTCCTCA